TATTTAAATTTTTTTAATCTTAACTATGTTAGCTATACTACCTATTAAATTATAATTTCTTTCATTTAGTATTTGTTTCTTTTATTCCTTTATTAGACTATGAATTTTTTTTTTTTTAAAAAAAAAAAATATATATATTTTTAATTTAGGGTCCCACTTCTGGTCCCGCTGGTTCAACGTAAGCTTTTTCTTTTTTTACTTTGCCATTCTTTTTTTTTTTTTTTGGTTTTCATCCTTTAAAATCTTTTTAATCCTTCTTTACAGACCATATCCATTGCCAGAACATAATAATAGTTATTTTTCACGCCCACATTTAGAATCAGATTATCCACGAACTCCATCTTATAGAGATGGCAACAATTATAACAGTCTTAGCCCAGTTCTCGGTGCTATGCCGACAGAATATGGTTATGGTGATCCTCCACAAATTACATTGCCTAATGCACTACGCAATACTAATATTCCTCCTCTTCAACATCAAAAATCTGATATACCACCGACTGGTTACCCTCAACATCATTCTGAAGGTATGCCACCGCCACCACCACCGCAGACACCAGAAGAAAGAGATAAAAAAGATTTTGTGGTATGTAATCTCAATAAATAATTAATAAAATTATTAGTACTCATAATTTTCAACTTACAAAATGACTACAATTTTAATAGTATTCTTGAAGATAAATGATTTGACTTTTGGTTTTACTTTTATGTAAGAATGTAATTTATAATACCCAAGATCCCTGTTCAATTTGTAAATTTTTTTTTAAAAAAAATTAAAAATAAACAAAAATAAAAATTAATCTTTGTGTTATAACAATACCCCTAATACCAAAAAATTTTGTTCATTACGTTCCCTTAGAATTTGTGTCATACTGGTGTTGAACACCACGGTACGATTTATACTATTGCTGAATAAATTTATCGATTAATTTAAATATATTCTTATAAAAAATTAATCTTCATATTCCACATTATGAAGTGGGTTTGAATGCGGAATTAATAATGTGAGTTTACCGCCATTATTATAACCATTAACACATAAATATCACGATTATCTACATTACTGCCTTGTTGGATTTTAATATCGTAAGGTCGGAGTACAACACATTTATCTTCATACCGAAAAACAATATTTCTTTCCTTATTGCCACTAACATTAAGGATACGAATAACAGAGGAATTAATTTTTGTAATACAACGAGTGTCAGTAGAAATTGAATCATTAAATAAAAAATTTAATAATAATAGTACTCTTATTAATAGTATTATCTTGTTTATTAATTAATTCAAAAAAAAAACTTTTTAAATTCTTGAATTGAATATCATATATTTCAATCTTGAAATTTTGAGCTGAATATTCTTTAATACGAATACGACAGAGTAAAACCATTTTGAATTATTTTAAAATTATCAATTTGAAAAAATAATTTTCAATATAAAATTTCATAAAAAAAAAGACTCATTAAACTTGGTTCTTTGCTAAACGCCAATTTTTTTAATCATTAAACATTTATTATAAAACGCACCTATGGTGGGTTTTGCATCTATTATATGTTTTTATTATGTCTTTAGATTTTTATAAGTTTTTATAAGCTTTGTATATAAAAATTTTAACACAAATTTGTTCACGTTTTAGGATTAAGGTTTGGGTTTGGGAAGGATTTTTGTGGCATAGAACATTTTTACTTAAGGCATCTCACACCGATTAATTAGCCAGTTTTTGAAATAATATATATGTCGTACGTTGGAATGGAATTATTATAGATTTAGAATCCACCTATGTTGAGTCCAAATATAGAGTCGTTAATGAATTCCAATTTAACTTATAATAAAATTAAGTGTATTCCAAATTATTTCATAGAATATAACACAACGCATTACAAATTAAAACATTACACGAATTTTTATCTAAATACATTTACAATGATTTTTTGTCGCAATTGCATTTAATATTATCTACGTGTAATTGCGAAGAAGATTGCATAATAGGCATTATACGTAATTCTAATAATACTAGATTGCACCCAAGTCTATATTATACGTGTCATCCTTCAAACTTCGAGAGTACAAAGAACGAACAAGTGAAGACAAGAAAATAACAAAACATTTGCATTTTATCTTGATAATTGATCATGATGTAATTTATTTGACGGCGATCGATTACACATTTATTAAAGTATCGAATTTAAAATTAAGTTGCTATTAAATTTATCGATTATTACAGTATCAACTTAAGTTGCTTTTAACTTTCATATCAACTTGGACTATATTTGGAATTCCGTTTCAACCTAAGTAGATTCTAAATCCTCAATAATTCCATTCTGACATATGACATATACATAGATATAAAATATCATAGGTGCGTTTTAATAAAAATCATCATTAAATAACTAAGAGAAGAGATAGAAATTAGCTAATTTTTTAGAGGGTGCAAGTTTGTGATTCAATCAAGTTATATATTTTTATCAGCATTGTTAAATCACACCACTGGTGTTTAACATCATAATAATTTTGCTATAAGCTGTAGTGTAATGTGAAGATTAGGTGTAATACAAAATTTTTGTTTATATTTTAAAAATAATTATAACTCAAAAATTCATCTATGAAATTACCTTTTGAGTTTTAATAAAAAAATTTCTTGAAAATTTGGTATAAATTATGTTTTTGGTTAATTCTAAACCTCAATTTTAATCCTAATATTAATTAAATTTTAATTGTTGTTTTGATAAAAATTATATATTATATATAAAAAAATTATATCTATAACACCATGTTATATAACACCATATTATGTGACATATAATTAAAAAAAAAGTATTACAAGGTTCTATTTCATAATATATAAACAAACAAAAAGAAAATATTTTCAAAGTTAATCAAGAAATATTCAAATTAACATAATAGCTTCTAGTATTGACAATATCACAAAAAGAAAGAGAAATACAGAAGATATATTGCTATACTTAGATATTGAAGTTATTAAGAAGCAATATATTAGTTTGAAAATATAAGAAAACTTTATCAAAAAAAACTTAGTAGTAAAAAAAAGCTCTCAATACTAAATAATATTCTATACTAATAGATCTCTAAGAAATAATAATACATCTTTATAAAATGAGCTAGATAGAATGGAAGTTAGCTGGGTCCAAGTGAATAAAGATGAAAATGAAAATAGATAAGAGTTGTTTTGAAGCAAAAAATTAGTTATTTTCAACAAGCTCAAAATCTGGTATGTGTTTTTTATTGTACTAAGTAAAAGGAAAGTAAGAATCTATATAGATAATATAATAGCAATAAAGATAATAGAAGAAAAAGAAAAAAAGAAAATAATATAACAAATACTAAATGAAAGAAATTATAATTTAATAGGTAGTATAGCTAACATAGTTAAGATTAAAAAAATTTAAATA